AATTGAAATGGACAATGCAATAGTTGCAAGGTCCGAGGTAAGTCCGGAAAGTCCGAACTCGGAAGTTAAACTCCGGAATATTGGCAAACATGATTAAATGGAATGAGCTAACCAATACAATGGGTATAAGCGGAGGTGGGGTCAAAGTCCGAGGTCGGAGCTAAGACCGGAGGTTCCGGAGACGGAGACGCAAATGGGATTCCGGAGCGGAGGTCCGGAGTCGGGAGCATAGGTGTTGCGTGCTCGTCTGGAAGGTGTTGAGGATGAGGTCGGACCCGGAATGTTCCGGAGTCGGACCGAAGGTGGTGTTGGAGCCGAAGGTGGGATAACCTCTTGGGAGTCGGCAAGGAGAAGGTGACGGAAGGGAAGTAGGGCTCTGGAGTCGGTTTTGGAGTTCTGGGAGCCTGGAGCGGAGGTCGGGATTGTACGGATATGACACCTTCCTTGGGCCAGATTTGAGGCTTCGGGCCTTTGTCTGGGGCAATATGAGTTCGTCTTCACCAGGCCTGCCCCCAGCTAGTGAGGGCCCATTCCAGTTGCCACTTTGCATTTTGGGTGGTCTTTTGATAATGACCCACCTTTGAAATCGCAGCTTTATGCAAGGCATCACTATCATGAAGCTTTCAGCTTGCTGCACCAAGCTTTCGTTTCAGATTAGAATTGTCCACACATAGTGGGGTTGGGATGTGGGCCCCAGGGCAATCAATTTTTTTTTACCACTCTCAGGTAGTGTATTCCCCCCTGGCTGGCCATATGAATCTTTTACAGCATTCTCTTTGTCTTTAGAATGTTTTGAGTTGCCCCAGAAGCCAGTGATCAATAGAGTGTGGGATATACGGCCTGGTGATCTTCTTCTCTTCTTATATGAAGACCGAGATGTCGATCCCATTTGAATTCAGATCCTCGTAGTATTATCTGAAAGTTGTCAGTCTGCCTATTTTCAAGCAAATTGGCAGAGGCTATGTGTGCTGAGGGACAAAATTGGAGGGGGGGAGGCGCAGTTTCCTTTTTGATGTGAAATGTAGGTGTCAGGGCACACCTGCCTGACCCCGCGCCACACCCCACACCGTACTGCACTACCCCGTTATCACTCCCCATCTCCCCTCCCCCATTTTCCCCCTTCTCTCTCTCTCTATTTCTATTTCTATTCTACAGTCGATTTCCCTTTCTCCATGTACTACTACATACCTGACCCCACCCCCCTGATCGCCGCATGCGCCGTGCACACTCCCGCCTACTGAGCGGCCACCTCCGGGATCTCCCGCAGAGACACCCAGGGAGGTGCGGCTATGTGCGGAGATGACATGGCTTCCTCCACGTGACCCTGACCGCATGTATATAATAGTGCCTGGGGTGGGAACAGAAGAAGCAGCCTTCTTCTCAACTTCCCACTTCAGACTAAGTGGTCGGGGACGCTCACCCCACGACGGGATTGCCACTACGCACAGCCGCTACTCATCCTACCGAGTCCCGCGCGCAGGGACCTCGCCGCTTTCGGAGCTGTCCCTGACAGTAGGCTCGGAACAAATAATTGTAAATAATTTTTTTCGCCGAAGTTTTTGGAGGGAATGGTGACACATTTCAAGATAATTATGGGTGTCTAGGCATGCAATGGCTAGTTATAATGTTTTGGTGGTTGTGTCAGGGCACACCCGCCTGACCCGGTTCCACCCGGGCCCACCTGGGCCCACCTCACCCGCTCACCCACTCACCCGCTCACCCGCTCACCCGCTCCCCGCTACCCATCCTTCCTCCCTCTTCCCCTTTCCTCCCTCTTCCCCTTTCCTCCCTCTTCCCCTTTCCTCCCTCTTCCCCTTTCCTCCCTCTTCCCTCTTTCCTCTTTCTCCTTTATTTCACTCTCCCTTTCTGTTTATTCTTTCTATTTACACGGACCACCTTCCCTTGTATCATTGTACTGTTGACCCGTCCGGCTCGGACACCCCAGGTGACTTCCTGCTACGCCCAGCATGCGCGGACGCCCTCAGGATCCCCTGCGGGGATACCCGGATGGCTGCGGCCCTCTCCGTAGATGACGTGGCACCCGTCATGTGACCCAAGCCGCATGTACATAAATGTACCTGAAGTGGGAACTGAAGAAGTAACCTTCTTCTCATGTTTTCCACTTCAGGTAAGTAGTGTAGTTCTTCCTTTTAATAACAATTCACATTTTCCACTTCAGTTTAAGTGGCCAGGGACTACAGTCCCAGATCGGGCCCATCAGTACGCGCACCCGCTTCGTCCCCTGAGAGGGTCCCTCCGCCGGGCGCTACAGCCGGGCCCCCTCCACCCCGGACGTGTCCCTGACAGGTTGGAGTTTTGTGCGGATGCAGTATTAGTGGTGTTATGAAGAATATATTGGAACAACACTCCTTGTAATTGAGAAATAACAATATGTAAAACCACCAAAACACCCTAAACATGATTATGAACAACATTTACTAATGGTATTCTTCACCAAATGTCCTGTGGAATGCACAAAACTTCGGCAATGTTGGGTCCCACTTTTCTGTGGTTGTTCAATAGTATATGCTTACATAAGCAGGTTCCACGGCGCAACCTGGGTTGCCCACTCCCACTAAGTTTGCATCCGTTATTGTACAGGATACGTGACTCAAGGGGGAGTGTTGAAGTCATGAGTCACCGGAACCTTCCGGGGCATTCTGGATTATTGTGGGAAATCGCCAGAATATTCCCGCCCAGTCTGTGCTTGCGTACACACACTTGCGCAACAGTTTATTTTATGTATAACATCATTGTAATACATTTTGTGTATGTATAAATATGCACGGACATGTGTTGAGCAAAATTATCAGAAAGTTTTCTAGCTTACCTCTGGTCTCGCGAGTATAGCTGCTGAAGTAAGCGGATTGCCTTATCAGGAATCCCTACATTATGAGGCTCGGCAATGTATGTTGCAAACCTTCACCCCCACATGACCTATTTTTCGCCAGAATTATGGCAAGTGTCTTGAGGTTTCAACACACAGCTCAAACTCCATCCGATCTCTTATCGTTTCCGTTGGTGGATAGCTATGGTCCCTGGACATCTAGGAAGCTGATTATTTTGTAAATTACTTCATGGATTTGCATCAATTGGCCATTATCATTGGGCCTTTGCCATATCCCCACTGTTCCCCACGTTCTTCTGTGCCCATTTGCTAGTACTAGTTCCCTAGCCTTGTCGCCATTTCTTGGTGTATGGCTGCTGAGAGAATCCAGAGGATCCTGGAGCCTTTATGCACTCAACTGCAGCTCCAGTTGTGCAATGGTGGTCTTTGGGTTCCCTGCCCATCCCGCATCATCTGTCAACTGAATGGCCTTAAATTCCTCAATCCATGCTATAATAATATCAATACTCTTTCCAACCTCCTGTGTGGGTTGTGAATGCATTCCGGGCAGGAAGAGCGCCCACTTGATGACTTCGGCAACTTCCGCTTCCATTCAATCTCCCAAATCTTTGAAGCAAAAATTCTCTTTCATCTAATAGTCTCAAGCCCCTGTGCCTGAATTAAAAGTTTATTCTGTCACCCTTACCTAGGTATTGTTGGGTGTCGATTTTCAAATTAACTCCATCTTTAGTGTTTTTTCAACTGATTCTCACCCATATCTCGACAATAAAGCGCATTTGAGAAAAAGCAAACCTAAGGTGCACTAATATAGGTCACTACAAACAACATCCTGTGTTTATTTGCATACTATCTTCATTGTGTGCAGAGGAAAACGTCCCGCCATTTTTGGGATAGCCAGCACAGCCACAAAACTGTGGGCGGTCACAACCTTGGACTAAACCTAATAACGCCCCATAGTGGAACGGAAAAAGTCACGTGCACAGCCACGAAAATTAGGAACAAATATTTCGAAACCAACTGGAGATATGTATTTCGTGAATATATTACAATATCATAAATAAATGATCATGTGGGGATAGTCCAATCTGAATTGCTCGACTCTGAATCGAATCTGAGCATTACATCACCATCTCCCCAACCTATTTTTAAAAAATATACACATACCCAATACACAGCCACCAATCCCAACCCAACGCCCCGACCCACCCCACCCCACCAACCCAACACCCAACCCCTGACCCAATGCCCAACCCACTAACCCAATGCCCAATGTCAGAGTCCGCGCGTCAGTTCGCGCATAAGAATCTCCCCAGGAAACTAGTCGTTGTAAAAGCTGGGGGGCCAACCCAGCTGGCAATAAGGCCTTATGTACATGAGTTCCGCAACTCACAAGAGCGCGGCTACATTGGGAGCACATGGTAGCCGATAGAGAAGCGACATGAAATAGGAGAATAGATCATGCGGATAAGGGGGCGATAGCGGGTGAGGGATGACGCGATAGCGGGTGAGGGATGACGCGATAGCGGAAATAGCGCATTGAATACAGCCTGTGTTCTAACTACGGCAAATCACACGCAGATATCGGCTTACGGGTACTCAACCTATCCGGATAGGGGTCCGGGCCGGCCGGATAACCGTCCGTGCCCTGACACCCAACCCACCAACCCACCAACCCACCAACCCAACACCCAACCCACTAACCTAATGCCCAACCCGCGTAAAATAAAAAAAGCAAACACACCCATGAATCGAACCGAAACCCAACAGACTCAACAGAACGGGATCAATGAACTAGCCATCAGGCCAAGACACCATCGACATAATCTTGGGACTTAATTTGTAAATATGCTTCTACTTCCATCACAAATATGGAAATCTGGAATCAAACTAATTTCAAGATTTTCGAGAAAAATTGTCGGGCACGTGTCAGTGCATGTGACTTTTGTCCGCTCCACTATGGGGCGTTACTAGGATTGCTCAACCTTGGTTGCCGACCCTCATACATTACAACATTGTTGTTTTGAGCTGGGCATCGCGGTCTCAGCGGTGGATACTCAGCGTCAGGGAATAAGCGCGCAGGGAGCTGATACGCTACTCGTATCCAACAACTGGCCTATCTATGAGCTTTGCAAATTCTTGGTCTAGACTTCGCTTGGATGCGCCGATCGTTTGAATGCTCTACTATTCTAGCCACCCAATGCAGCACGTCCTCGTACCGCAGGTGCAGGTGAGGCACTGCTCATTTAGGGGGCTGTGAATAATCGTCGTTCGGAAGCAGGCTTGATGAAACAGATGCTGGCAAATCCTTGGCAAATTGCTCCTGCCTTCATCACTACCCTGTTCATCGCAACAAGCCTCGCCAACCCGTGCATCACGCCTTTACGTGTTCCCTACTGCCGTGACACAAACCTAGCGCTTGAACCATTTATCGCACTCCCTGTACTCCCCGCTTCGCCACCTTCCTTCCATGGGGGATCCGACTTCCAAGTATTTGTGGGAACGACAGATACATGTCAAAACGGCACTTGTGAGTCACCCATCTAACTAGTTATTTCTCGAACGAGCCAGCGCTTAGGTCCTTTTGCCATCAAGTCTTCTGTCCTCCCAATTGGCGTTGTACCGATGGGGGTATATGCCTACGGTCATCTCCTTGAAACACTTTAGGAGTGTTCTGATCCGCTTCCTCAGTGCTCAGATGGCAGTGGGTGTTGTCAGCATGGTTATTACGTGAGTTCCCCATTTCGCTCAGGCTGTTTAGTGCGTCTAACTGAGTGTTTCTTCACCTAGTGCTCTGGGGGTACGTCGTAAGCCATAAAGTTGTGAGCACATGGACGGTTGTTCATCGATACATGATATGTCAGCTGCATCCCAAATGGCGGAGTGCCTTGTGGGACCGGTCATTATTGCAACCCAGGCAATTATGTGAGTCCTTTCCGTAGAAGCGGCCCTTCGTCCCGGTGTCGTTCCTCTAATGCTGCTCGGAATAGTGTTATCCAAATGGGTCTGTCGATTACATGAATCATAGTCTCCACTATCTCATGGTAAACCCATTCTCCAGTTGCATTCCGAACGGTGGGACTCCTTGTGGTACTGGTCATTATTGCCAACCAGGAAAAACATGCTGTCAGGGCGCCGGTTGTATGTGATGACACGCACCCCTTATAGTGTTCCTCATCACCCACGATGACTATGTCCATTGCAGGCTGTGACCCAGGGCACTCATGCTGGCCTGATACCTCTTGTTGTCCTACGGCTACGCCCCCCGCTACTTTAAGTCATACATCCCCTCCAATCCCCACCACACCTACCACCACACTACTTTTGCAGCTTTTCCATCGTTGCCGCAGCTTCGGCGGCCTCTGCCTCTGCCGCCTCCACCGCCTCTTCCACCTCTACCAGAACTTCAGCATGTGGTCCTATGCTCAACTATCCAGATTTGACGATCTTTTTCGGGGCAGTAACCGTACCGGCTCTTTCTCTGATTTGGCTATGAGATCGTCGAGTATTGTCATTCTTGTATTACTCTCAGTCTTGTGATCTGGGCTTGGAGTTTTGAACAACGGACCGGGCATCCCACATTTGATTCGTTGTATGATTATGATGTACATCTCCCCTGAAACCAACATTCACGTTAATAAAGGCTTCAAATGTAATTCCGCTCTGAGGCTATGGTTGTTCAAGGGAGGGCGCCCTCAAGGGCCTCGATCGAGCTCTGCTTTGATGTCCACAAAGGAACGGTCACACAGTTCCATGTGGACAACACGGTCCTCCACTTACTCCGTTCCGTGAGACATCCACGCCTTTCTGGTTTGTCAAGAGACGGCTAGCTCATGCAATCACTGCCAGATCGACTTCTGGGCAAATAATCGATCCGTGGCGGCGTAAAATGGTGCCCGGAAGATCAACGAGCTTCTGACTGATCTCCGGAGCTGACAGTAGCTGTCGGTCATGTCACTATGTTCACAGGCGAGGCACTTGTGGGTCGGGATGGATGTGTAACTCGGACTGCCGTTGTTGTACCTTGGATGAATATACAAAATTATATTGGCCTCTCGTCCTTGTATATTCAGGCTGCGTAGGGCCTCTTATGGGTTATACAATGATCCCCCCTATGAGGCCTGGCCCACAGGGTGACCAAGGTGGTCCTAATCGTGTTCAATACTGTAATCGCCTGAGCCGCAATTTTCGGAGGCTCGTCCACATGTGAATCCAGGTCCCTGTGGGGTGTGCGTTTCTGTCTATAGGTACACACTCTGGGTGGGAATATGGAGACACTCCGACTCCAGCTATCGAATTAATAGTTTACCGTCGGACAGGGTTCGAGTTGCTATAACTGGTCTTGAGATGTATTTCTTCCTTCCTACTTTTAGTATGATTCAACTCGACGTTGATGGAAGGCCCCTTTCTCGTCTGTAAGACTGCTCCTGGCTTTGTGAGCTGCAGTTGACATCCTGTTGCGTGCTGTTGAGTGCGTCATTGATGCAGTGGCTGGAGACCCACCGGTCCCCGATACAGGGTGTGGTCATTGTCACCTGCATTTTGATCCAGTATCCAGGTTTGTGGCTAGTAGCCTAGCGCAAACACGCCGGTCTCGAGCAGCAACTCCACTTCTCCCACAGTTGCTCTAGTAATCTCAACGCTAAAAGTCTCCCACTCCCACTGAAACCGCTTCGTCTACGGCCTTGGTACTTCGGAAGATCTACTTCGGGGATACCTCCGGAATAACCGATACGAGGTTAGCTATGCGTATGAGGTCTAACTCACAAGGCTCTGATCAGCTTTTGGCGCGCACGCTTGAATCTGCCTCGCAGATATACTGCTTTCTTAGCACGGGTACGGGTTTTTGTTCGACGGGTTTGTGCAAGCAGGATGCGGAAGCCCTGATGTTATGTCTTGGAGTGAAGAAAAAAGGCGGTTCGCACTCAAGCTTCGTGCGTGAACGGAAAGTGTAATTGTGTCTCATGAGATGACGTCACGTCAGGCGAATCGCCTATGGTAATTCTCAATATTTCATATTGCCCCGTTGCAGTGCCGATGCACTCGTATGTGTTCACGCCCACCGTAACACTCTTGCCTGGGAGCCCCTCATTCACATATTGGACTGTGATAAGTAAGCGACCGGCCAAGAGGGCTTCCATAGAGGAATCCGGTCTGATTGCAATGGGGAGTCGAACAATAATCCTCTGTGCTTCAGGCTTCCGTTCAATGGAATCTCCCCTTACTGAATTCAAATATAACAATATAACAATAAATTCAAATATGCGCTATTATTGCAGCAGGGCACGTGGTGATTTGCAAGATTAGCGAATGGAGTTCAGTATTATCCAAAGGCAGGGTTCGTCCCGTGGACCTTGATTGCCGATGACTTCAATTCCTGTCATTAATGGGCTGTGCCGATCCCAGTACAGTGTGGCTTGGGCGTCCATACCATTGATATGCGGTCAACTATACTCCCCAAGCATGAACTATTATCCTACAAGCGGTTTCAAAAAAGCTAATCTTAACATGACCCAAGTGGAACATCTTCCCTTTTTTGCGCTTAGAGCTTCGGGCACGCTCTACTCACCGAACGCTGATTGGTTGCGTCTTGCTCGCTTCTTGCTTTCTCACGTTCACGTTCTCCTTCTGGCCTTGATTTCATATACCACACTTATGTTGCTCTTATTCCAGCCAATCCGAAAATATTGTAAGCTAAGATTGTTCTTTAGTTTTCAGCCTCACTTCTTACAATAGCTACGTTACGAGGCAATTGTCATGACATCTTCCCTCCACGCTTCCTCGATGCCGCCACACGTACGAGCATTCCGACTGTGCCCATAAGTCCTGTCCTTGCGAACACAATTTTCACTACACATGTGACGCGGATTGATTGTGCACATACACAATTCCTGCACCAAATATGTACAGCACTCCAGCCCATGCACGTGAGACACTGTCTGGCGGACCAGGCTCATAAATCATCAAGCAAGGGTCATACGGATTCCCTTGCTGTCATCATCCTCAACCAGTCTAGGTCACTGGCATTCCAACGCGCATGCTAGAACTCGCCGTTGATATCGAATTGGACTGAATGCATATATCATATCCTTCCTCAACTTTCCATAAGCAGGCGGCGGAGGCCCCGTGGCTCTGGGTATCAGGGACTCACACGTGTATTGCGTACCCAAGCTCTCTTTCCTCTGCCCACTTGTCCGCTATCGACCATGTCATTGCAGCGAAGGGCTGAAGCTCTCAGGCAAAAGATCGATGATCTCCTCGTAGTGGGAGGTGCCATAGCGGTTCCAATCCTTCGGGTCGTCAATGATACGGCTGATTGGTGTCCCCCACTAAAAATAGCGACCGGAAGTGCACTCTCCATCCTCGATGAGGTTCAGGTTGGCAATGGTTTGTGATCGAGTTTGAATGAAAGCTCACACTAGTTTGCGCCACGCAGGGGTTCAAGGATAACAAGAATGAATGGGCTAGTTTTGGTCAGCACATAGTCGATACTGTAGCCGAGGTGATTTTAGCCATAAAATCTTATGATCCCTCAGTGGAAGAGGCAAAGCCGTGGGTGGAGAGTATTGCAAAGCTTGATGGGTAAGTTTTTGGTTGTCTGGGACACCGCTACTTACATTAAGTCCCAGCGCGCTACAGAAGATCAAATCCGAAATCGAACGCAGACTGAAAAAAATAGAGAAGCGACCGACTTTCATAAATGCCTGGTCTTACTTGAGAGACCCGGGAAGGATCGATGACCTAAAGAAAGATTTTGACAATGCATTGATATCGTTTCAGGTAGGTTTCCTTACAGTATTGTTCCATAATTATTCTGACATTTGGCCGATGCAGCTGAGGATGAGCCTAATAGGTGGTGCCAAATTAGCGGCTATGGAATGCCGTCTATGGGAAGACAAAATTCTCGATAGGCTCCGATTCCCACATATCGCCCAGGATGATTCCACTCAGGCATGCCTAGGTGGCACAAGGGCGAAACTCACCGAGCATATTATGACATGGTGCCACAACACTGGGGAGAGTGAGAACCGGCTAATGCTACTGACTGCTGTGGCCGGTGCCGGAAAGACTTCGATTACACTCACGATAGCAGAACGATGTGCTAGTGAAGAGGGTATTACCCTGTTACTGCATTTTTTCTTTAAAGCTGGCGAACGGTCACGGCCCGATTTTCTATTCAGTGGCATAGCTCGGGCGCTAGCAGAACGAGACCCGGTTTACCGCACTTTGATTATCTCTGCCCTTCGAAAAGACTCTTCCCTCCCAACAGCCCCACTTGCGAAACAATTCAAGCATTTGGTGGCTTCTCCTCTCCTCCATAAACCTCCACCTCCCAGCCATCCTATGGTCGTCATCATCGATGCTTTAGATGAGTGTGACAGAGAAGCTTTTGAGCCCCTTGCCGAAATTCTGAGGGAGGAAGTGCCCAAACTACCATCTTCCACTAAATTCTTTATCACATCGAGACAATTTAATCTAGTGACTCGCTTCCTTTCCCCCAATTACCCTATCGTTCATCTCACTATTGATCTCTCAGATGAGACAAACATAAAGGACTGCACTGCATACATACGTTCTCAGCTTCAAAAGCTGAGGGAAGTGCATCCGGATTTACGCTGTAATCTTCAGGATGAGGATAAATCGGTACAGGAGATCTCGGAACGTGCAAATGGCTTGTTTATCTGGATCAGCACCATCTTTCGCTATATGAAGATGACCAGTGAGGATCCTATGGGGACACTAAAGAGCTTGCTTGACACCAGTGCCAAGCGATCAAAGGTCCCTGCCGAGGAAATGATGGATCACTTGTACACAAACATTCTGAAGAGGTGTAATTGGAAGATTGAAGGTTTTGTACATGACTACCCCATTGTGATGGGAGCAATCTTCGTTGCACGGCAGCCTCTGTCCATTGCAAGCTGGGAACGAATTTTGTTACCTTTTTTGAAGTCACCTGTTCAATATACGTTGGCCGAACTTGCACCTCTCCTCTTGGGAGTCGAGAACCCTCACATTCCGGTTCGCATCTCACACCAATCCTTCCGCGACTTTGTCCTACATCGGCTCGATCCCGGATCAATCGATGTTGGTTGCAGTTTAGTGAATGTGAAGACCGAGAATGCCAGGGTTGCCCTACAATGTACCAAGATCCTAAACCATGGTCTTTCATTTGTAAAGGGCTTAGGGTGGATTGATAACATGTCTGAAAAGGATGAAATGCCGCACTTTCCTCCAGAGGACTTATCTGAGCACTTTCATTATGCATGTCGTCATATTGTCCATCACCTCAGTGGAGTCCAGGAACCATCAGAGGAGCTTGCTGGGTCAATTGGCATGTTTCTCAGTCACAAAGCAGCTTGCTGGGTGGAAGTCTGTGTGAGGATGGAGGGCTACATTAGTATCTCATCACTACCAGAGTGGGCTAAGGTATGTGTTATCAATTGTGTCAATGAAATTACCTCATGACCTTTCCAGTCGGCTGTTCTGTGCCAGTCAAAGGATGCTGTCCATGCATTGGCCAATGTGCTTATCCGACTTCAGCGGAATTTGAAATTTTTTTCAAGATTCCAGGAGGCCTATGAAGCAGCAGATGATTCTGTTATTCTCTGCCGTGACCTTGTTTCTCTGGACCCAAGGGCCTACACCCCGGATTTGGCCAAGTCACTCAACAGCCTATACAATGCTCTTTACAATCTTGGACGGCACTCAGAGGCACTCCCATTCATCAAAGAGAGCCTCAACCTCTATTGCCAGCTAGTTGTTGTTCACCCAGGATTGTACATCCCAGATTTGGCCAAGTCGCTCAACAGTCTATATAATGCTCTTTCCAATCTTGGACAGCACTCAGAGGCACTCCCATACATTGAAAACAGTGTCAAACTCCGACACCAGCTAGCTGTCATTAACCCTGGATTATACACCCTGGATTTGGCCAGGTCACTCAGCAGTCTATGTAATGCTCTTTCCAATCTTGGACGGCACTCAGAAGCACTCCCATTCATTGAAGAAAGTGTTGAACTTGGACGCCAGCTAGTTGCTGTTCACCCAGGATCATACATCCCAGATTTGGCCAGGTCACTCAACAATCTATATATTACTCTTTCCAGTCTTGGACGGCACTTGGAGGCACTCCCATTCATTGAAGAAAGGGTCAAACTCTATCGCCAGCTAGTTGCCATTCACCCAGTGTCATACACCCCTGGTTTGGCTGGATCACTTCTCAATCTATATTTAGCTCTTTCAAGACTTGGACAGTGCTCAAAGGCACTCCAGCTCATTGAAGAAAGTGTCAAACTCTACCGCCAGCTAGTTGCTGTGCACCCAGGGTCATATACCCCCAATTTGGCCTTGTCACTCAACAATCTGTATGTTGCTCTCTCCAATCTTGGTCGGCATCCAGAGGCACTTCCATTCATTGAAGAAAGTGTCAAACTCTACTGCCAGCTAGTTACCATTCATCCAGGATCATACACCCCTGATTTGGCCATGTCACTCAACAATCTGTACATTGCTCTCTCCAATCTTGGACAGCATTTGGAGGCACTTCCATTCATTGAAGAAAGTGTCAAACTCTACCGCCAGCTAGTTCCCATTCACCCAGGATCATGCACCCCTGGTTTGGCTAGGTCACTCCTCAACCTATATACTGCTCTTTCTGAACTTGGACAGCACTCAGAGGCACTCCCATTTATTGAAGAAAGTGTCAAACTCTACTGCCGGCTAGTTGCCATGCACCCAGGGTCATATGTCCCTGATTTGGCTGCATCACTCAATAATCTCTATACTGCTCTTTCCAAACTCGGACGGCACTCAGAGGCATTCCTATTCATTGAAGAGTGTGTCCAAATCTGGCATGAGCTGGTTGCTGTTAACCCAAGAGCACATGCCCCAGGATTGGCTAATTCACTCAAGAATCTACATAGTGCACTCTCCAATCTTGGGCATCATTCTGAGGCACTGTAAGCCTATCACAACCCTGCAAAGTGCCCATCCCCTATTGCTCTTCCATCATGCCCTCCTCTGTACCCACCACCAATCTTGCACCCATCAGTTGCCTCTGTAGTCCATCACTCAGTGGCACCAATAGTTTGTCCCTGTTCATGGCCCCACATTGGTGCCTTCTCCCTTCCCACCACCACTTTGGCTTTTCTTGCCACTCAGCCACACCCCATTCACTTATTGCTGAGCACCCATATGTCCTGTCCCTATTCATTTGCTTAACTTACTTTAGTGGCCAATATTGGCACCTTTGATCCACTCTTATATTGACACTTTGATCTGCTACTATATTGGCAATGTTGGTTCTATTCAGTCTGCCTCCCTACTTTGCCATCTTTTGTTTATTCACTTATTTCACTCCCATTCATTCCTTCACCCTCCATTTCCCTTGTCCTTGTCTCTCATTTAGTTTTGTCATGCTCATCACTCCACCTCCCATTCTGTGCTGGACCAACTGGTCCCTCTTGTTTTTCTCCCTCTCATATTTATACCTTGTAAAGTACTACCTTTGTACCTGTCAGGGGATGACTCCCAGGTCCCCATGACCCTCTCCTATGGCCCACAGCCTCACATGTAAACAGCCCTGTCCAGGACACAATCCTACTGTGGGTAAGAGATGAGAAGGAAGCTAACTTCTCATCTTCTCACAGTGACCACACTATAGTGGAAACTTCCAGAGATATCCGGTGAAGGAGCGGAGCTGGATCACCTTATGTAACCAGTTTCCTACGTCCAATAATGATATTAGAGTTTGTGCTGATTTGCATACTGACCGTGTTTTGGTTGCCAAATATATAATTGTTCACTGTCTAAACAACAATAAACACCCCCCAACGATCTCACCTGACATATAGATCGTCTACAGATAAAATTCTATATTGACTTTACTATGATTTCTAGTCAATATTACACCTAGATATACCACTTTTCAGTAGGACGTGATTTTCCTGATAATTTACTGAAGGAAAACTACTAATAAAATAATTCCGTAATAAATGTTACTCAATACAGGAGTGACCAAACTGCTCTTTCTATCGCTTAGAGTGCGTGCTAGTTATCTAGCAGGTTCAAGATCGCTCACTTTTCTCCTGTGGTGTGATAACCAAATATTACTGAGAGATTATTCAATTAAGAAGTCCCTCCACCAAATTCTCACTAATTCTCACTATGACACTTTTGTTCAGCTGTGTCTAACTGACCCTAACTCACGCTTAGAGTGATGTGTTAGTTTTATATTAGCTAACAACTAATATTTGCTTTTATCTTTTGGAGCAAACGAACCAACCACTGGTGAGGAGAATTAAACTTATATTTCTACCTGAGGTTTGAGAGGGGGCAGAAGCGGCGGCCTATTATGCTTTTCAGAGGCCTCTCTGCTCCCACGCCTCGCACTAGTTACATGTGCTACATTTGTATTATAGATAGTTCTAGAATGATATAGGGGCTTGGGCTGTGTAAGCTTAATAATGGACTTAGGACATGACTCAGCAATAAGTAATTCAGTTCTTTGTCTTTTGGGCCGATCTTAGCGGGGTCTTGTAGCGCTAAAGCTATGCTCTACACCGCCTTAATTACGAACGGTTATCTTTAGAAATGACTCGGCTATAAAGGAACTTTCTAGACTGTTCTCTAATTCACCCCTTTTTGTGAAGCCACATCATTACTAATGTTCTAGAGCTTTCCCAATTAATTAACTGATCCGCGGACTTCTGAATCACATTATGCTCATGATCCGAGATCCAGATCATCAATCATTCCTTTGTTCCAATTTATTTGAGCTTAAAATCAAAAAGTTTTGATGAATCATGGGAAAATATACAAGATCCATTCTTTTAGCATTTTCTCCTCTTCTGATGCGATCAAAAACTGTCCTCCCGCGCCAGGGAATACTCTGTCATATGGTATTCGGTCCGCCAGACTTCCGGGCGCCAATATATTTCCCTTGAGTCACATTACTTTTTATAAGAATTAGCAAATAAATATATATGCATTATAAGGTGTTTCGCCGTTTGAGCGATATCTCCGTCTGTTTTGAAGCTTTTAGAATGAAACAAAACCGTGGATAAAGTATAGAAACAGTCCTTTCAGATGGTAAAAAGATTACAGTCAAAAGCTTACTGGTTCCCGAGATATTTACATTTCTTTCCCAATGTTCCTTCTTATTCTGCTGTCTATGTGCTAATTTCTTGTTGTAGGGATATATTCTTTGAATATTACACCTATGCCAGGTTCTAGGCATGCTTGTAGTAGATTAAATCTCATGCTACATGGGTGTGGATAATTTATAATGATCTTCTAATGTCTGTCCAGTCTCATAAAGATCATGAGATCTGTTAAACATCTGAACTTGTCACCTGATTGTTGACTATTCTGATAGATCATTGTTTTATTCTTTGAATATTATTTCTCCTACACTGGAAGTCACATGAGGACAGGATCCAGGGACTGGAGCATGCAGTGCACAGAGCATGTGGCATGGGAAGCATGTTCAGGAAGTGCAGTAGGCAGATGCAGGTCTGGATGTGGGTCCGGGTCCAGGCTAGGTCAGGGTAGGTGCCCTGAAGTACCTTAGTTTGAATATTGACTAGAATACCCCCAAGTCCTCTCATCTCAAGTTTGTCTCTAATTTCACCCTCACTAAGTTTAATGTCACCACAAGGTTCCCTCTGCTAACCTGAAATACAGGATAGCCTAATGTCATGGACTGTTCCTGGAAGCTGTCCAAAAGCCTCCAGGTGGGTGTTGTGTGGAGCTTGAGGTTCTGGGTCATCCAACAGTAGGTAAGAGATAAGCCAGAGGTGGGGCAGAGCTCTGGGGGTGATGAGGGTGTTGAAGGGACTCAGCTTCAGCGACTTGGAGTGGAGCACTGTGTGCCTTATGTTACTGCATCCCCAATTTGTCAGGGGAGCTGGTGACTCAGCGACTTGGAAGGGAGTGCTGTGCCTCCATTTACATCTCTGGTGTTGTAACTGGGCACAAGAGCTGCCCAGGCAAGAGAGTAGGGACCTGGGGGTAGAGTCTGAATCGGGTCGGAAGGGGGGGAAGGAAGGGTAATGGCAACAGTGCGGATACTGTGCCATGGTCTGGGTGCTACTGACAACAATCAATAAAATCTCACAAAATAAGTACTCACTCCTGGTCACTCTGGACTATTGTCAGGAGTCAGAGATCTGTATCAATGTACTGGTCATGCTCTGGCATCACTAGAGTGGTCAAACAACTAAACTTCTTGGTGGGATGTCCCTTCTCATCCAAAATTGGCCATGAAGTCATGGCACCACCTCCGTAGCTGAGATGCATATGATGGCCCATGGTTCCACGAAACTGCAACCCATTCCGAAGCCTGAATCCAGCCAACATCACAAGTTGAACTGATCTGTTCAGAACTGTACAGACGGAGCAACTGGAGCATTTGCTCCAGTCTCATGCATGTTAGTTCATCCAAATTTGATTGCTTATGACCAGGGCCCTTCCTGTGAGGATGAACAATCTCACTGATCTTTTTGGCAGCTTTGTCAGTGGTATTTCAGGATGGGGGAGGGACAAATGGATGGGAGTGATAACAAGTTTGCACAGGGTTGTCGTGGCTTGCTGTTTTGCCAGGTGTCATATCCGTGCATACCCGACCCCGACCCGACTTCCGGACCTCCACCCTCTTCACCTCCGGAGTCATACCCTACCGCTGCTGTTCCGATACTCACCTCCGGTCCTGGCAACACACCTCCTCTCATCCCCCACGCCACCTCTGCTCCTCCTTCCCTCTCCTCCCCTATCTCCGTCCACTCCGATACTCACCTCGGACCGAACACCGCCCCTCTCGCCACCCTCCTACTCCGCTCCTCCTTCACAACACACCACCCTCCCGTCACCCTCCTACGCTTCCCCCGTCCGCTCCGATACTCACCTTCGGACCTGACAACTCTCCTTTCCGCCACTCCTCCTCCCTTACCTTTCCCCTCTCTCCTCCCTCTGGTACTCCTCCGCCACCCTCCCGCCAAGTTACGACCTTCCACCGCTGTCCCGTACTTCGTACTCGGACACCGCTCGTACCTTTGCTCCGAGCCTCCGTCATAGTCCCTACCTCGGACTTTGACTCCACCTCGGTCTTAGTCCATTGCATTGGTGACCTCATACTACGTAAACACCATTGCCAATATCCCTCGGACTTTCAACCCCGCCTCCGTAACCTCCGTAAGCTCTGCAACCCCCGAGCTTCGTGGATCGCCTTCGGCACTTTCGCCGCTTGTAATGTATCTCTCGCCTTTACCCCCCATCCCTATTTGGACTACTGCTTCCGCCCATTCTAGCCAGTTAGTCATCATCCCCACTTCTCCTCATCCTCCTGCCCCTCTGGGCCTCGCCCTCCTTACCTCCTTTCGGACGTATCACAGGTCCTGCCTTATGACCTTCAGTACCGCTCCGCTTCTTCTACCCTTTGTTCCCGTTCGGACATCTTCGTTCCGATTCGGTACCCTTTGTTTTCCTTGTGCTTTTGCCCCCTCCATTATATATATCAGCGCTTGTACATACTCGTTTTGGTTCAGTCCGAAATCGACCTGAAATGCCCCTTAGAGACTTCCTGCTCACCTACTGTGAAATTAAGGACCAAATGGACAAACAGCAATGGCACAGCGCTCCGCTTGAGTCGCTGAGGCCAAGGTCCCTCCACGCTGAGTCTCCGATTCCACTCCAGAGTCGTCTGTATCTGCCGGTTCTAACACCAGGCAAGTCTATTCCTGTTGCTTCATCTATTTCAAGTGGCCAACTCTGACCTGAGACACCAGTGCATTCCATGGTTGAACCCGATGAGTCCGGTATCCCATGTTGCGGACTCGGACAGGAGATGCTGATCTCAGACTCATCACAGTTTAGAGGTTTGGGGCTATCATCAACACTTCCACAACCACTGAGTGGAGCATCAGTGTCTGAGTCACTGATGATGATGGGGTTGTGGTTAGGGAAGT